GCTGGGTGCTCTGTGAATACTTCCTAAATGAACGAATGCATATTTATAAGTGATCAGCAGAGAATTCTCTAAGTAGTGGTTTTCAAAGTGTGCATTTGAAGGGCTTATAAAACACTGCATACTGGATACCCCCCAGATTCCCAAATCAGTAGGTCTGGGTGGAGCCCGAGAACTCGCACTCTGACAAGTTTCCAGAAGTACCACTGTGGGGGCTGTACTTGGTCAAGCCCTGCTCTACTGAACACATGCTGAGATGACGCTCTGTGTAGAAATAACCCCAGCCACGAATTTTGGGTAAGGGAGACACCTAGAGGGGGGTTTCACTGCTTCTCATTCACAGGATAAATTCCAGTTTTGCCAAGGAGGGTCCGAAGCCCTAAAGCCAGTGAGGCCGGTGTAGCCGAGATTGCCTAGAAGTCACAGCTAGATTCATTTCCAGTGCTAGTGCAGAGGTCGCGCTCCTGTTAAACCTATCTACAGAAGACACTGTATTACGGCAGACCCTAAAACGCAAAGGAGTGTATAAGCACGTCTCGTTCAATGCCTGACTCCTTCAGACACTGAGGTAGTCCAGAAGGATGTCATACCTCAAGTGTCCTCCACAAAAGCCCCCCAAGCATCCCCACACTTACACTAGCTTCTCTGCAATGTTCTTGACTACGTCTGGTTTGGATCTGGACTGTCGTAGAAGACCTTGCATTGTACTGGGCGAATGTGCTGGCCATCCCAGCACCACACGGTTCTCCATACAGAAGCCATCGAATTCACCCTCTCAGCAAGTCTTTGAGCACCTGCCATGCCACAAACCCTATTCTAGAAGCTGAGTACACAGTGGCAAAAACAGATGGAACGTGGATTCTAGAAGGAGAAGTAGCCAGCAAGCCAGCGGATGCAATCAGTGGTCGCGATCACTGTCGCCATTGCTGGGCCCCTTCGCGGTCCCCATCGTGGCATAACCCTGTGGTGCTGCAGCATATTGGTCATTTCTAGCTCACATACCTGTGGATCGGCTGACCTGGACAGGGTTTTCTGGGCTTGCTCAGGTAACTGTGGGTCTGTGGCAGCTCATCTCCTTCTAAGCCCAGCAAGTTGCCCCCAAATGCTCTTTTCAAGCTTCAAGAGTAAGCTGAAACCCATGGGCACCCAGGGCCCAGGCTCCTGACTCACCCTATCACTTCTCCCTCATTGCATTAGCCTCACAAGTCACGTGGCCAAACCTGTGCAAGGGATCAGGGTGTAGATGCAGAGCAAAGTGAAGAATTAAGACGATAAAGCAAGTGACAGCATGGAAGGGCAGGGAACAGCGGGCGCTGGGGAAGCGGGAAGCAGCGTTCGTGGCTGGCTAATCACTGGGGGTGCTGTTTGGGGCCAGCATTGTGGTGTTCAGGGAGACGTGTAGGAGGCTGTGTTGTCGTAATCTGAGTTTTTCGCAGGCCTTCCCGCCGCGGGAGGTGTGCTGCCAGCAGAAGGCACAGGGTGATGCTGTCTGGCGTGGCTTCCCTCACGCTGTCCAGGTGAATCCTGCTACCTAGGGCCCCGGGCACAGCTGCTGGCTGCTCCGTCTCCCAGGGCTCCGATCTGGTTTATCTCAATTCCGTGTGAATGCCTCATCACAGCAGCACATTCAAAGCGCAGCACAATTTGCATAAATTCCCTCTGCTGGACTAGGCACCGGTTGCCCTCCTCCCCTGCATGACCTGTATGTGTGCACATCTGTGTGCTTGTACACATATGTACAGGCATGTGCACACACCACAGATTCTCCTCTACATGCTCTGAAATGTCTTAGCCACATCAGCCAAGGAGAGGAAACTGTCTCAGCCCCTGGGACCCACGAGGGTAGCTGCCAGCTGTTGGCTGATTCTGTCACCTCCAAAGCCAGGCTCATATGCATGGAAGGAGTGAGGGGGTAGGGTGGTTTCCAGCTTCAGCATTCATTTGCCACCATTGATCAATCTGTCAGGTAAAAGACCCCCATTAGGGAGCTGAAGGAAAAATGAAGCAAAACAAATACAACTGGATTTCTTCTTCAGAGGCCTTTGATCACAGGACTGAAATTATTTTATGCTTGTCTTTGTTGAGCAAAAGCTGATCTCATGTCTTTTGGTGAAATGCACGTTCTCTGAAGGTAGAGGGGAAAGTAATGTCAATTTTTGCAGCAGTCTTCCAATTTCTTTGATGAGAAACTGAGGCTTGAGTAATAAAAGCAACCCACTCAATGTGAATGGGGTGCAGAGATTTGAGTCCAGGTCTCACCTTGCTGACAACCCTCATTCCAACTCCGGAACCTAAGCTCGAAATGCTTGAGTTAAGAGTTGAACTTCAGGGTTTAAGAAGACTCCTAAAGTCAACTTCTCCCAGCCCTGAAAAGCCAATCTATGGGGACTGAGGCAAGGAAAGGGTGGGGACTGGCCCTTTGGGCATGCCCACCTGATAAGGTGTGATTGACCGGAGCCACTCTGCCAGCCGGTATCACAGTCTGGGCACAAGCCCAAACCCTGCCAGGATTTCAACAGCTGTATGCGTCTCCTCTGGTACCATCAGACCCAGAACCTCATGCATAGCCTGGACCTGCTGTAGGCCTGGTGTCTTAGTCTTAGACGGAAGTGAGGAATTTGGGGTCAGACCAGAAAATAGCCCTTTGCCAAACCATGTTGACTCACCCGAGGTCATTTCCCATCTGTGCGAATATCCAACAACTGGCCTATTAAGGCAAAAGACACAGCCCCTGCCTCTATTACGGGCCCTTCTGAAGGACCGTTTTCCTCTCAGAGCTCCTGAGACTGGCTGAAGCCTTGCTTTCAACTGCAGTGGCACACGACCTCTCCCTCTGCTGGTCTGGTTCCCTCCTTTCTTATAGATTACTCCTAAGCACACTCTCCAGTAAGCCACCTGCATCTCCATCTAAGTGCCTATTGCCAGGGAAACCAGCCTGTCTCACGCCGACAATTAAATGTTCCAGGTTTGAAGTGACACATGTCACTCTAGCTCATAGCTGGATCTGTTCTCATGGCCCCACCTCTACCATAAGGAGGCCAGCAAGTGTAACCCTGACACATTCCCAGAATAGGGAAATTAGAAATATTTAGTGAGCTGCGCCAAGACCAGTGGAACGAGGAGACTGCAGAAAGGGCGTGTAAAATCCACACGACTGCATTGTCCTTCGAATGCAGCTTTGGATACTCCCTGCTCTGGGGAGTGCTTCCCTGGACTGAGCTGCTGCTTGTGGAAACCCAGCTAGACACTCATCTTCTGCTGTCTGCTCCCTGCAGTGGGGTGTATCATCTCCTCTCTCTCTGTCTCTGTGTCTAAGCCATGCACCAGTCCATGGGCCCCTGGTCGACAGGGTGGCTCCTCCCCTGGAATTGAGACAAATCAAGTTGTTTCAGCCTGCCTCACTCTGACGCCTGCTGGGTGCCAGTTTTACTCTTTTCATGGGCAAAGGCTCCAAACTGCCATTATCTGTCACAGCACTTGTCAAAGACTCTTCTAATCAAGACTCAGGGTGGATTGCTCAGACGGCCAGACCTAGGCAGGAAGGAGGCGTGATGGAGCAGCAACACTTGCCTTCTCCAGTCTCTTCTGGGACTGTGTCACCCCCATTGCCGTCTGTCATCATCAGGCCAGCACTGGCTGAAACAGGCGACATGCACCTTTGTCCGTGACCCAGAGGCCACATGAGATAGCTCTGTGACCAAATAGTGAATAATGAAGGAATTTTAAAAATGGATCTGTGAGCATTTACCGGATGGTTATCTTGCAGTTAATCCTCATCACCCGCTTAATGTCCAGTACAATTTCTATTCATTTTACTAGTAGAAAAAGGGAGGCACAAGAGTTTGAGGAACTTACTAGTAAGTGGCAGAGCTAGGGGGTTGAGCCTAGGCATTGTGGCTCCAGACGTTGCCCCTCCCCATCTTCTGTTACTTCTTGATTAAGTCTAGCCATCTGTTCTTTTAGCACACACTAATCACTGTCTCCATGTTCCAGGCCTTGTGCCAGACCCTGGGAATACAGCCCAATCCACTAGGTCTCAGCATAGTCCCTTGTTCAGTGCCCTGCTATATTAGATGTCACATAACACATTTATTCAGTGTATAATACCATCATTTCCAAATTATGTTGGAAAAATTGTATTCATATTTCTATGATAAGAACTATGTACTTTACATGTTTCTCTTATTGCTTTGGCTACCAGGAAGCTCATATCCAAATCACAGCAAATATATGAGTTTGGGTTTAGCATTTTCTTCTGGTCAGATTTTATATTTTGGTTGCATAAATTCTATTTCACACATATCCTTCATTGTAAAACATCTTCAATCTCTTTTGGAAGGAGATTGCACAAAAATGATGACACCTTCACTGAATATTCTTAGATCTGTCAGAGAAGGCAGACCTGGAGGTTCCTCTTACTCTCATTCCCAAAGCACCCACTTACAAAATGCTCGAACAGTGGCTACCTCTGAGTCTTGGGCAGTAACTGAGCTTCTGAAAGGTCACAACTCATATAGGAAAGAAAAGTTCCCACAAATGATGGCTCAGCTTCTGTGCCAGGTGCGCATTTGTGGAGCAGGCGGCCGTCAGACTCTCACCTGAACAGTTAATAAAATCTATTGCCCCTTGATAGATTTTTTTTCTGCAAGGGAGAATTGATCTGTCGTCTTTGTGATTTGTGAGATGGCAGGGAAACACCAAACACCATCAGGACTTGGGCCACATTGGGGGTGGGAGGGAGGAAAAGAAGAAAAAAATGAAAAAGTCTGCCGCCAAGGCTTTCCAGGTGTAGAAAGGGCCGGAACTGCTGGGGTCATTTTATGTGATGTATGGGAAATAAAGTGGATCTTATTAACATTTTAATAAAGAGAATCTTTTTACACTAGGCTGAAAGTGGCTGCCAGCCCTCGGTGCAATTCCATTCTCTGGGAAAGTGGACTCGGCTGGCATTGCCCAGCGTGATTTGTGAAGCTGGGCGCCAACAGTCCAAAAAAAGCGAATGTGCTGCCTCCTCTGAGGGGTTCGCTGTTGGTGAGGTGCTCGCCCGTATCTGCCATGCAAAACGAGGGCGCTTTATGAAGGAGTCCGTCTTGTAAAGCCATTGGTCCCGGCCATCAGCTTCTACCCAATGCTCTCCTGATGCTGCCGCGGATCTATTTGGGAAGTTGGCTGGCTGGCGAGGCAGAGCCTCTCCTCAAAGCCTGGCTCCCACGGAAAATATGCTCAGTGCCGCCGCGTGCATGAATGAAAACGCCGCCGGGCGCTTCTAGTCGGGCAAAATGCAGCCGAGAACTCCACTCGTCCTGTGCGTTCTCCTGTCCCAGGTAGGGAAGAAGGGGCTGCGGGCGCGCTGGGCGCCGGGTTTCTGCATTCCGATCGCCGGCGCTGTACGGAGAGGGGGCTTTCGGGGGTCGGAGGGATCCGGCGCGGTGGCGGAGACAGGGCTTGGAAGAGAGCTGATGGCCAGCCTCGGAGATCCTAGGGGGCTGTGCCCCCACCCCGCCCTGGCTTGCCTGGGTGTGTGTGTGTGTGTGTGTGTGTTCGTGTTCGGGGGAGGCAGCGAGAGCTCCCGAGTCCCTTTTATTTATTTATTTATATATTTTTTTGCACGCAGGGGCGACATTCTCGCCCACATCAGTGGGGTAACTTTGGTTTGCCTCCTCCGGAGGTTCTTGCATTGGAGACTCAGTTGGAGGCGACTCCAACGTCAGCCCAGAGCCCAGCGGCAAAATCGCTGCTCGGGTCCGGATTGCGGGTCGCCCGGTTGGAGAGGCCAAGCTGGTATCGCCGACTTCCCGAGGCGCCCGCGGTGCACGGGAAGGCGCCTCCGGCCAGCGGAGCGCTGCAGCCCGGCTGCTGCTGTCCTTCAAAGGCGCCGGCGCCGGCCGCGCCCGTATCGGATCTTCTACATCCCAGACCCGGGGCGGAGAGGGGCCTAAGTCCGTTCCCCCAGTCCGGGTGCAGGCCCCAGCCCCCAGCGCCCTCATTGTCCAGCCAGCTGGAGCTCAGGCCAAGCCCGCTGCCGCTTCTGCTGCCTTCCCTGGGCGGGTGCGGAGCACAGAGAAAAGTTCAAGCCTTGCCCACCCGGGCTGCAGCTGCCTATTAACCCTCGGAGCGCTGAGGCGCTAGGAAAGGGCCCGCTGACCAGGAGAGTAGGCGAAGGAGACGCGGACCTCCAGCAGTCACCCCTGCATCTCAGGGATCTCAGGAAGTTTGTGTGCAGAGAAGCAGAAGCGGCGCTCCAAGGCCAGGCCTGAGGTGCAGGGGGTTGAGGGACACGCCTGACTCTGCCCAGAGGCCTTTGGCTTCTGAGAACACCCTTCCGAGGCCCCCATGGCCTCCCTGGCATCCTACAAGTGGGTGGGGAAGAGCAGGGAAGGGCCTGGCAGAGGGAAGGGAATGAGACAGGCGCTCCCACTGCCAGGGGAAGAAAGGGAAGAGGCTGAGGCAAGGGTGTGAGTTTGTGGGTGACAGGGAGGGCAAGAGGGTAGGGTCCCTGCTGGGGCTGGCTGGAAGGAAGAGCTCCTGCAACCTTCTACAGGGAATGGATCAATGATGTTGGGCTAGACTTTGGAAATAGGTTGGCACCCCAGGAATTCAAGGGCCAGCTGATGACTGGAGATGGGGCAGTGGAGGGTAGTACCAGGGGCAGAGGGAGGTGCTGGGCAGCCGCTCAGCCTGCTCCTTAGGGCTGACTCCTCCCTGCGTACACAGTCCCCATTCAGAGCTGCCCAGTTCCAGCTCCTCTTCTACCAGGGCTTCGCTGATTGATCTCTTGGGACCCCTCCTGTAGCCCTCAGCCTGTCATGGGTCCTAGGGTCCTATGGCCGGCTGTGAACCAGTTTCCAGGACTTCCTGGACTCTGACTCTCCCTAAGGCTGTGCATGTGTACATCTCTCCCAGTTGAGCAAGGATGCTCAGAGCACGCCTCGAACAGGAAGGATTCAGGCAGGTCCTGTCTGTCAAATGCCAGTGGTACCTCCTTGGGCAGGTTGCACAGTCTGTTTGAGCTTCCAGGTTCCCCACTATGCCATATTCTACCACCTGGTGTGGACTGCTGGGGGAGTGGGGCCGTGTTAGTCAGGATGCCCTAGGTCGTGCTTTATACAAGGCCCACGCCCTGGCAGCTCACCTCTCTGGGATCACTTTCTAGTCCTTACCCAGGACTTGACAGTCTTTTCTTGCTCTATTTCTATCTCAGTGCAGATTCCAGGGTTTGCCCAAAGTTATGCCTCCCTTAGAGCAAGACAGACCACGTAACAGTGCCCACAACCTCCACGCACCAGGGGCTTTGCACGCCGTGCCTTTGCGAAGCAGCCTGTGTGTCTTCTCGCCTGGACCCGGCCAGCACAGGCGGGTTCCGAAGGCTCACTGTGCTTTCCTGGAAGAGGAGCAGAGGTGTTACTGTGAATGAATTGCTGCCCTGAGATGCTTATTTCTCTCTTTGATTGTCATACGTAACCAGAGTGAATGTCCACGTCAGGGCAGTCATTATATCCTGGTAGCAATAGCGCCTCACAGAGAAATCATGTTGGAACGATCGAGTTAACTAGCGAGTGCTTCATGGGCACAGCTCTGTGGGCATAGAGAAAAG